TCTCTCTCTCTCTCTCTCTCTAGCTCTTTCCAGAAAGGGAGCGGGAATGCATTTTCCCGCGATAGCGGGAAGATGCATTCCCGTTTCGTTTTTCGAAACGAGACTCTCTCTCTCTCTCTCTCTCTCTCTCTCACACACACACACAAGTTCAACTGTTTTCCCCTTTTTTTTTTTTTGTGTATTTCATTTTTTTTTCCTTCTTTCTTTTTGATCGTGTGTCGTCCCTACAGAAGCGGGGCCCGGCCTTGGCGCTACGACCGGGCCTTCCCTTGGCCGACCAGCCTGAGGCTACGGCGCGTATACGGGAAGGCCCGCGGCCGAACACTGAGCGAGGTACTGGTGGTTTAATACAGATTGGTTCATAGAGAGGAAATTGGATGGTATCTGGAGGGTGCCTGCCAGCATTGATTGCTATGGAGACCAGAGGATTGACTGAGCAGGTGCGAAAAGAGGATTGACTGAGCAGGTGCGAAAAGAGGATTGACTGAGCAGGTGCGAAAATGAGAGCATGATGGTCCCCATCTCCCTTTCCAATCTTGTGTCGGGTCAGGGTGCCGGGAGGAGCCACTGGGCAGCACCAGTGCGGATTCCGCCCGTCTCCCTGCCCATCCCCCAAAAGAACTTACCCCTCAACCACCCTAGTGCCACGCATCCACACTGCATTGCAGAATGAAGCAAAAATCTTGTTTGAAAAAAAAAATTGGATGGTGTCTAGAGGGTGCCTGCCAGCATTGCTTGCTCAGGAGACCAAAGGATTGACTGAGCAGGTGTGAGAAAGCATGATGGTCCCCTAGATAGGGCAGAGAAATGGGACTTTGCAGAATAAAGCAAAACTCAGACGTAGTAAAACTGGATAGTCCCTGACTGAAACGAACTAAAAACAGATTGGAGACGGAAAAAAAGGGGCTACAACCCAGTCAGATTGGAACACAGACTAATAACCCGAACGTAAGAATGATGAGAAAAGACACACTTAAATTGATCACTTAAACAGGGACTGTGTCAAGAGTGAGGGTTTCATCGGTCGGTTACAGGCGTATTTCCAGGGCCTGTGGGTGGGGAGGGAACGGGTCTGGGAATTCCTCTGCAGGTCTCAAGGGGATGCTGGGGTCTACTGTCAGCCAGTCTTTAAATCTCAGTTGGTAGTCCCTAGGCGCCTCCTCTCTTAGGCTTCCCTCCCCCCCCTCCCCCCCCTCCCCCTCTCCTTCCCCAAACCCCGTCCAGCATACTTCTGCTACCCATCCCTCCCGGTCCCCTCCCAGCCACTCCTTAGAAAACTGTAGTAGCCGTTCCTGGATGTCTTTGGCTCTATGCAGGTTGTCTAGTGTTTGGTTCAATGTCTTCCATCTGTGCGAGAGTTCCAGTTGGAAGTGCAGTTTGAATTGTTTCACCCTCTCTTCGCCCTCTACCGGAACTTGGTCTAGAGTTAGGACACATCGTTGCCACCACAGGACCCACAGGATCGTTCGTCGGGACAGGTGGAACATGTTCAACACAAAGATATCGTCTTGGAAAGGTGGGTAGTGGCCTGTTAGGATGGCCCGCCAATCCCACGGCCATGGGTGCCCTGGGACCATTTGTTGCCACACCCTATCCCACCACCTCCGCGTAAGAATAGTGGCGGGGCATTGTAGAAATATGTGCTCAACCGTCTCTGTTCTCTTTCTAACCGGGAAACCTTGCAGGCATCGAGAGCAC